TGAATACCTCTCACGTAAATGTGAATAACAAAGTGTGAGGCCAGACATACTGCCTCACACGCCTGTACTCACGCATTTGTGAATAAGTTACCCTTTATGTATAGAACTAAACAAATAATGTAAATGAAATACTGTGTAACTCTCAGTGCCATAATATCCTGACAACCGGGGTTAATTATTATGACTCGTTGTAAACTCTACTCTGTAATCCTTTTACGCTACCGCTCACAGGATGAGTGTGGGGTGCACAATAAAGTAGCCGCTGTAAGCGGCAAAATCAAATCAAATCACCACACCACCACCACCACCACCACACCACCACCACCACCACTACACCGCCACTCACCACCACCACTCCACCACCAACACTACCACACCACCACCACCACCACCACACCACCACTACAGGGTCACACAAGGTGTTCCGATCTCACAAGTCAAAGAATGGCCACATCACCCAATTGAGGACTTTCATGTGGCCCAAACTTCCATAGCCTCCCTCCCTCCCTCCCTCCCTCCCTCCCTCCTTCCGCCCCCTCCCTACTCGTCCGTCCGGCCCTTCTTTTCCTTCCTCGCCGCTTACTTCCACCCTCCCCTTCCCCCCTACCACACACACACACACACACACACACACACACGCAGTCACCTTCAGTAGGGTCATAATCCTGTGTGTTTCAGGGTCTTCTACACCCAGGACCTCTCAGAAGGTCCTCCTGCGCCACCTACTCAGAGGCTGCGCCCTTCCTATCACCACCTTCAGGAGCTTTCACGGCTGGACTCGAGATCCTTGTCTTAGTAATGTGTGAAGAAATATGTCAAGGTTAGTGTAGGTCAGGTCAGGTCAGGTCAGGTTAGATTATATTAGGTCAGGTCAGGTTAGGTTAGGTTAGATTATATTATGTTGGGTCGGGTCAGGTTAGGTTAGATTAGATATATTAGGTCAGGTCAGGTCAGGTTAGCTTATGTTAGATTAGTTATATTAGGTCAGGTCAGGTCAGGTCAGGTCATCCCATTAGTATATAACACCTTCCTTCTCTCCCTCAAGACTTCATAACGGCCTAAACCCTTAATACCCTACAAAGTCCTCATGACGTCATTACAGAAACCTTCATCAACCCCCAAACCCCTAAACCACCCTTAACCGCCCTTAACTACCCTTAAAGTATGTTACGGAACCCTTAACCACCCTTAACCACCCTTAAAGTATGTTACGGAACCCTTAACCACCCTTAACCACCCTTAAAGTATGTTACAGAACCCTTAACCACCCTTAACCACCCTTAACCACCCTTAAATGTGTTACGGAAGCATTAAACGTGCTACTCTCTTCTTTATTTTAAGTGTCTCCTTTATGGCTCCAGCGGTGGTGCCTTGGTCTTTAATGTCTCACTGAGTGTAGCTGGGAATCTTTTATACCTCACCAGAGATCGTCAAGTGTGTGTGTGTGTGTGTGCGTGTGTGTGTGTGTGTGTGTGTGTGTGTGTGTGTGTGTGTGTGTGTGTGCGTGTGGGAGGAATTTTGTGTATGTATTTCCTTCTTGCTCACAGAGATGTTATGGCTGTGATGATTCATTGCTTCAAAGGATTCGAACCAGTGTCATTGGTTTCGAAGCAGAGATTACCCAAGGTATTAATAAGGTGGTTTCATTGCTTGGGTGGGATTCGAACACGTATCAGTAGTCTAGAAACAGAGGATCAAGGTGTTCTAGAGGTGCTTCAATGCTTCAAAGGCTTCGAATAGGTGTCTCATTGATTCGATATTTCCGGAGCTTCAAGTTGAATGTCTCACTGTCTCTAGAGTCTCACGTGTCTCTTGATGTCTCACTTATTGGCCGAGAGATCCTTAAATGTCTCACTTATTGGCCGAGAGATCCTTAAATGTCTCACTTATTGGCCGAGAGATCCTTAAATGTCTCACTTATTGGCCGAGAGATCCTTAAATGTCTCACTTACTGGCCGAGAGATCCTTTAACACCCCACTTATTGGCCGAGAGATCCTAAATGTCTCACTCTACTGGCCGAGAGATCCTTAAATGTCTCACTTATTGGCCGAGAGATCCTTAAATGTCTCACTTACTGGCCGAGATCCTAAATGTCTCACTTAGGCCGAGAGATCCTTAAATGTCTCACTTATTGGCTGAGAGATCCTTAAATGTCTCACTTACTGGCCGAGAGATCCTTAAATGTCTCACTTATTGGCCGAGAGATCCTTAAATGTCTCACTTATTGGCCGAGAGATCCTTAAATGTCTCACTTATTGGCCGAGAGATCCTTAAATGTCTCACTTATTGGCCGAGAGATCCTTAAATGTCTCACTTACTGGCCGAGAGATCCTTAAATGTCTCACTTACTGGCCGAGAGATCCTTAAATGTCTCACTTATTGGCCGAGAGATCCTTAAATGTCTCACTTATTGGCCGAGAAGATCCTGCAACAAGTCTCAATTTATTGGCCGAGAGATCCTTAAATGTCTCACTTATTGGCCGAGATCCTTAAATGTCT